TCCCGCCCGTCCCACTCCCCCCTCCGTCCATAGCCGACACCCAGCCAAACTCCGACGGCCCGGTCGCCGACCCGCCCGGAATGTCCAAGAAGAAGAAGCCCAAGGCGCGAAGGAAGCCACGGTCGGAGTGCACGCCGGAGGAGATCGCCAAGTTGGACGTGGAATCGGCGAAGAGGAGGGACCGGAGGGTGGTCGTCAAGAACAACATCGCCGCGGCCAAGAGAGCGGCCGAACGCGCTGCGATTGAGGCCGCGCGGCACAAGGTCGACCTCGAGGAGAAGGAGGCCATCGTCGGCAAAGCGCATGCCCTTCTCATGCATGACATTTGTCGCCCGGCCGGTTTCTCTGGAGGGGCCGTCGGTCCGGCGAGCACAGGGTCGTCGGTCGTCCGGCCTCCGCATTGTCAGTCGCCGACGTCGCAGACCACGCCCTTGTCGCCCGGCTTTCCTCCGCCAAGGCACGACAGCCAGGCCCGTTTCGGGGGGTCGCCGGACGTGAGCGTGATCGCGCCGTCCACACCGCGCCCCTCGGTCGTCATCGAACTCAACGTCACCCCCGGGTCCACCAGCGGCGGCCGGCCATCCGTCGAGATGCAAAGAAAGCAAGCACGGCCGCCGTTTACCGGCACCATGCCGCCCCCCCGCGTCTGTGAGGGATGAGAAGAAGCGGCAAAGCAAGGACGAGCAAATGAAGCAATACCTAGAGCTCCAAACAAAGAAGCTTGAGATGGAGGAGGCGGCCAAGAGAAGGAAGATCGACATGAAGGAGGCGGCCCGACAGAGGCAGCTCGACATCGAGGAGGCGGCCCGGCAACGACAGCTCGACATCGAGGCCGACAACGTCAAGGCCAGGCAAAGGCAGGTCGACATCGAGGCCACCAATGCTGCCACTAAAGCGAAAGAGGTGGCCCTGGCGATCATGAGCGTGGACTTGTTGAAGATGAGCGAGAAGACGAGGGGCTGGTTCGAGGCCAGGAAAAAGGAGATGCTCGACGCCAACGGCCTGAACTAGGTCGTTCGATCGGCCGTGGCCGTTCTTTTTTGGAGACTGGCATGGTTGCCGCCCGCCCGCTGGGCCGCTGGCCGTGTGCCGGCGAAAAAACATTCATTTTGAATGCCGGCTGTGTTGCCGGCCGCTGGCTGTGTTGCCAGCGAGGACAACCATTCATTTTGGAGGCCGGGTTGTGTTGCCGGCCGCTGGCTAAATGCCGGCGATGGACGTGTAGGCCGCTGGCTTTGTTGCCGGCGTGCGTGATGAACTGCGGCCGTAGGGCTTGGCATTTGATATGTTTCTCTTTTTTTTAAATAGACGCGGACAGGATGGGGTAAAGGATGCGGCCGCACGCTGGGCGCACGGCCACCGCATCCCCGAACAGGCCCGGACACGACGCCATCTCCCTGCCCAAACGGACAAAATCCGGACAAAACGGACGTCCGTTTGGGGTCGCGCGGTGGAGTTGGCCTAAATGACTGAGATCAACTCTAGCGAGCGAGCGAGCGATCTATCGATCCATGGGATTGATTGGCCCATCAAGAAACGACCCCAACGAAATTAATTCATAACCGGAGGGGCCACTCCTCCCTCCACGCTAAATAGAATTAATAATTATGGGGAAAATGTCTTAGCCATCGATCTGAATGGGTGGCTTGGATCAGCTCCAACGAGGTGTCGATCCATGAGACAAGGGTATCAACCAATCAGCAAACAAAATTAAAGTGACGGTCCATGGGATGGGACACGGATATCAACCAATCATCAGCAAGCACAAAGTCAAAGTGGGATGTGTGGCCGAACCAACAGTCAGACAGACAAAATCCTCAAACGCACGCCGCATCACCTCCTTTTTTTTCCGTCTCTCCCACGCATCCTCCACCTTCCAGCCCCGCCACCACGCAACGCCGGCCTCCGCCATCTCCCAACAACCAGCGCCGTTGTTTGTTTGTTTGTTCGTTCAAACTGGACCACGCTCTTAAAATATAATTATTCTAACTTTAATAACGAAAAAAATCTCAAAATACTAATAAATTAAAATTCGAAATAAATATATCTTTTAACAATTAAATATTTCAAAAAATAATAAGTCTCTAAATACTAATAAATTCAAAAAAATATTAATTTAATAACTTAAAGTCTCGAAATTCATTACAATGGCTCAAAATAATAATAGATTCAAAATAAATATTCTTACTTTAATAAAAAATGTCTTAAAAATCATTAAAAACTCAAAATAATAATTAATTCAAAATAAATATTGTTTCTTTAATAAATAAATGTTAAAAAAAATAAAAAGTGTCATATTTATAATAAATTCAAAATAAATATTATTAATTTAATTACCAAAAGTCTCGAAAAATAAAATACAAGTCAAATAATAAAATACTGCTATATAGGCAAAACAAGGGAGAAGATTTTTGCGGAGAAAGGAAGTTAAATTGTTTGAGAAACAAGTGTGTGTATACAGGTGGGCTCACCAATTTGTGGCATGTTAGAAAACCAACGCCGAAACTTATGAAGTTGTCATACCAAATATGCCAACGCCACCACTATTTGGGTGTTGGCTCAAAATGGGGCGCCACAAACTTAAGTTTTGGCTAGCCATTTCTCTACTAGTGTAGTCAACCACTTGAAAAACATGGGGTATTGGTCATCTTTGATGTTTCTACTAAAATGTGACGACTAAATTCATGAAATAAACTTGAAAAACATGAGTCCGCTGAATTGTTTCGTCATTAATCACCAAAACCCTATTGGGATATATAAGGGCCCACTAATAATATGCAAACACTTCACCAATACATGGCAACCATCACGATGATTTGAAAAAAAAAATCAAATGTGCTAAGGAACTAAAAAGGGTTTAAAACAAGAATGAGACGAGATCGAGTAAAGATATAACAAATAGTTGAATATCCCATACGGTTAACATTCATTGAAATTTTACAGGTAAGAGCATATTCCACATTAAGCATGGTATGAGACCTAACAAACATCTTGCATCCCCCTTATGGAAAAGATTCTTGTTGCACTCAAAACTTCATGTTTTTTTTGGAGAGAAACAAAGCTCACATGTTTTGAATCGTTCTCATAGCCACTTTTCAGGATCACCTTGCACCTAAGAGCATTGTGCCAATTTACCCGAGCTGAGATAAATGAAGGAGTTGAGGGGAGGATGACAAAAACATATGATGTAAATACTCTTGGCGCAATCTCCAATGCCACTAGGATTAATATCATACATCATCCTGACGGTCGAAACAACAAGCATGAGATGAAATTGAGTAAAGAGCAAACAAATAGTTGAATCTCCCATACAAAAGCCATTCAAGGAATATTACAGGTAATAGAAGTTCCACATTCAGAATGGTATGAGACCCATCACACAACTTGCATCCCCTATATGGAAAATATTCTTGCCACTCCCGAAAACATTTCTTTTAGGAAACAAACAAAGACCACATGATTTCAGTCATGCTCGATAGCCTCTTTTTCATGATAACCTTACATCTGGGAGCATGGTACCAATTCCCCATTGCTAAGATAAACGAAGGAGTTAACGAAAGGATGACCAAAACAAATTCTATAAATACTCTTGGCGCAATCTCCAATGTCACTTGGATTAATCTCATGAGTTAGCCTGATGGTCATTCTTGTAAGCATTGGAGCCCAACTTAGTATCATTGTCACGAAATCAATCTCATGATCCCCTCCTCCGAAGTTGTAAATTTCCACTTCTTCAAGACGCATCAAGGAGATACTATGGCTCCTCTAGTTCTTGGGCTCATTACAAGGACAATGTTTAACGCATTTTGACATCTAGGAAAATAAAAACGTTATAATGTATTTTAGACAAGTAGTATGTGTGTAACTATATAAGCAACATGGATAATTACCTCAGACCAACTGCATAGTACAACTTTAAGCCTTTGTATACGAGTTTGAAGGTGATGCATCCCAAGGATACGTGACACAAATGCTGCTAAAACATGTCCCTCTGCATTGAGGTTTAGGGCCAATATTGGAAAGTTGGAAACTGGAGGTTTCTCCAACTCCCTAGCAAAGTTCAGCACTGGACCAGACTGATCCTGCAAAATAATATAATTATTTGGATTGTTGTATATCATGAAATTCTTATATATATTACTTTCGTAAGCACATCCAATAAATTGAAAAGGTGGGTCGTTTATAAGTAAGTTGTCTGAATTTTTTAGAGAATTTAATCACTTATTTCACTGGCCTTATAATTGCATCTAGGAACTTTCGTGTTCCTGATTCATAACATGACTTGCAAATGAGATAGTACTACTGGTGAGCTTACTACGAATTTTTTTGGCTCAAATAATTAGAAGTCCTAGAAAATGGGCAACGTAACTAGGATAAGAAAAAAACACTGAAATGCAACATAAAAGCTTATTGTGGCGGATATATATAATACATGTAGAAGTATTTCCTTAAATGAAAGTATTGTAAACTAAATAGACTATGGAAGAAGAAGATTGCCAAAATTGAATATTTGGGCACACATTATAGGGAAGTCGCACACATTATGAAGAACAACTATAAAGTAGTACAATTTTGGAATGTTCCTCATGGTAGTATTGAAACTTGGGTTGTGGCATGTAATTATAGGAGGGGCAAGCACCCCAAGACATCAGTGTCTCGATGAATTGCATATTCTGGAATGTTTGGCGCATTAATGCCCTAGGTAGAAAGCCCCTTATTATAGACTTTATCAATAAGACTCATGTCTGACTCATATTTGAAGTCTTTAGTTGATAGGAGGAATTTTGATGGGAACCATCAGTTTCTGCTTGTGGCATCTTGGTTGGAGTAGATGTAGATATCTTTGATGTGATTAAATGGGGCGTTGCTCAATTCTATATGTGGCTTGCACCCTTATGATGAAAAGCAAGAAATACAATTATAGTTGTTATTGTTTATGGATCCCCTTATGAGGCATGCAAAGCGTAATTTCTCTCTGAGCTTCATTCATTATTTATATATATTCAAACTCCTACTCTAATTTGGGGTGACTTTTGACCTGGTTAGAGTTAATCATATAAGAGCAATGGGGTCATCAACCATAGATGGAGAGATAACTTCAATACTTGGGTGGATATATGGAGTTTACTAGAAATTAAGCTTTCCTCTAGGAAATATACTTGCGCTAATAACCAGGTGGGCATTATTATGTCCACTATACATAGGATGTTTCGTGATACTGACCTAGATATTTTCCGTTTAGATTATTGTAATGCCCTTCCAAGAATGGGAAGTGACCACACTCTCAAAGTATGGGATTCTGGTATTAGTAAATAAGCTAGAACTACAAGCTATAAATTTGAGAACACGTGTCTCCTTAGGGAAGATATTAAAGATCTAGTAGAGAAAATATGGAATACACCTTTCCTAGGTGGGTCATCCATTGAGTTGTTGCAAGAGAAAATTTCAAAACTTGGAAAGACTACAGAAGGGTGTAGTGCCAATACACAGGTTGAGTTGAGAAAACTCAAGAAGACACTTATGGAGGATTATGATAAATTGGTTATTAAATCGGAAATTGTTGAGATCTTTGGAGCAAGAACACATAGAATGGAAGAGATTCACCTATAAATGAAAACCACTAGTTGAAAGAGGAGACCAGAGCTCATGAGAGGTCTAGGGCTAGAGAAATTAAAGAGGGTGTTAGGAACACTGCATATTTTCATGCAGTGGCCAACCATAGAAGGAGGAAAACATTAATTCACTCTCTGGATGGCCCTAATTGCCCTGTCACTGAAATTTTAGACTTCCTCGATCTAGCTAGTAATTTTTAATAAAGATCTTTTCAAAGCCAAGGGTAGAAAATGATTTACTCTCAATCAACATTTCATCACTATAGAAGAGAGAGCCTCTAATGCTACAAACGATTTGCTGCAATCCTTTTTATTGGGGAGGAAATTAAAAAAGAAGTGTTTGATTCTTATGCTGATGGGCTCCACGACCTGAATGGCTACCTTTCTTTTTCTATGAACAGTTTTGGAATCTAATCAATTATGATATGATTAAGATATTTGAAGATTCTCATAGGTTGAATTTGCTTTTCTAGCTTTCATTCCAAAGGATGTTGATGTCACTTCCATGAAGAAGTTCATTCCCATTAGTTTACTCAGTTGTAGTGTAAAAGAATATTATTAAGGTTTTAACTAATTGTATTAGTGATACGATACAAAGACGCATAGGCAGTAATCACTCTACCTTTCTTATAGGTATATTCATATTCGAAAGTGTGGTGACTACATGAAGTGCTGCATTTTTTACATTCCAGTAATGCGGAAGGGCTAGTTTTCAGACTAGATTATGAGAAGGCAATTGATTTTATTAACCCAAATTTAGTACCTGGATTAACAAATATTAGATGCTTTGGTGATGAATGGGTATCCTGGATACATGCTATTACTAGGGTTGGGTTTGTAGGAGTGAATATTAATGGTTGTGGCCCTGTGATTTATTCACCACCAGTCTGGGCGTCAGACAAGGGGAACCCCTTTCACCTCTCATCTTCAATATAGTAGTAGATTTGCTATCTATGATGCTTGCTGAAGTTGTCTTTAGTGATTTGATTATTGGTTTGTGCCTTGCAGTGTTCCATGGAGGGTTCGTGTGCCTCCAATATGTTGATGCCACAATCCTTTTCCTACAAAAGGATCTGGGCAAAACCGTAAAATTGAAAATGGTGATGTCCTTCTTTGAATATATCTTTTGCATGAAAATTAACTACGGCAAAAGTGCACTAATTCTGATAAACATGTCGGAAGAGGACACCAAGGAATATGCAGAAGCTTTAGGTTGCAAAAAAAGCAACTTCCCTACTAAATACTTAAAAATCCCTATTCGTTATGATAAATTGTGGAGAGAAGGCATTCCACCCTTGATGGACAACATTATTGAGAGAATAGCCGGCTGGAGAGGAAAGCTGCTCTCTTACAATGGAAGATTAATATTAATTCATGGTTGCCTACCTACTATCCACATATACCTTTTATCAATTTTCCTAATTCTGAGTTAATCAATACACAGATGACTCATTGTCTGTCGAATGACTTTGAAGGCCTTAGGAAACTGCATTTAGCTAACTTGAGACTTGTCTATAGGAAGAAAGAGTTTGGTGGTTCAGGTATCTCCAATCTCCAAGAGATCAATCTATGCCTCCTAGGATCATGGATCAAGAGATAATATGAAGGAAATGGGAAATGGAAAGCCACCAAAAGGACATATCCTAAATAGCATCCAACTGATAAAATATTATTTGAGAAAAAATCCAGGTAATTTAAAAATAGTAAAACACGTGAAAATATAGGTTGAATAAGAGACATACCTGCGCAGATATTTGCAAACATAGGACATGAACACGAGGGGGCTGCGAACATGCATCTTTCCCTTCCTTGGTGAGCCCTTCATCTTTGTATTTGTAGTTCTCTACCGTATCGACCCTCAGGCTCTGAAGTGACCAAAAACCAAACATAAGGGCTAACTTTTTATATGAAAACAAATAGGAGACCTTCTCCACCATTGGCGCCCAGATGGACACGTTGATGTCTGAGGCAGCATCAACACTGAGCTTCAGTTGCGTAAGCAGTGGAGTCTCTATGTTGATACCCTCACATTGCCCTTCATCGATACTAAGCTCAAGCTCTTGCAACGATGTTGAGCGGATTGTAACAACTTGTGCAGATCTATCTGCGTTCACCTTGAGCACGCGTAGGCGTGGACAACGGGCAACCATGGTGTCAAGATCGAGGATGGTGCAACGGTAGTGTTGGAGGGACAACCTCTCAAGTGCCAAGAATTTATCTTCCGTCACCTGTGTGAAGCAGACAAAGAACAACCACATCTCGATCAACTTCGTGCGAGGAAAGCATGGCAACTCAGCAGTAAAATATTTGTTGAAGCTATTAACAAGGACTAGCTCTTGTGGAGAGACCCTTGCCGCAGCATGGAGAAGGGAGGCAAATTGAGCTCCATCAGCAGTGTGTCCCCCACTATAGAGCTCGAGTTCGATGCGTAAGAGGGACACCGTGAGTCCAAGCGCCACAGCAGCTTCTAGTGCAGTGAGCGACTCTTCGAGCAAGACAGGCAAGACCCCACGGCAGGTGACCCTGAGCACGTGCAGGCGCGGGCACTGGTTGAGACAGGCGCCAATGTCAACAATGTTTCCGGAGAGAGAGAGCCTCTCAAGCGCATGAAGGATCTGGTTGGCCGGCGGCTGGATCTGGATGAAGTATGTGTCCAGCTCGATGGAGGTGGCATGGAGGAAGCAAGGCATGGTGATTTCGACGCGACGCCCTGGCTTGCTTATAGAAGACCGCGGGAGGACGAACATGAGCTCCTCTGGCGAGAGCCGGACGGCCTTGCACAACAACTTCTTAGCAAGCGCTTCGTCGTGCCTGGCAGCCTCCGGCGGCACACTCCTCATGAGACGGATGTCGAGGGCAGAGACGGACATACCTGCACGGCGACGCGCGACGCGGGTGAGCGCCGCCTGCACCTTGCCGACCGGGACGTCGTGGAAGATGAGCCCGGGGAGATGGATCCAGAGGTTGCGCCACCGGCGCGCGAGGATGCATGTGCGTGCGGCGGCGCGAGCGCAGCCGAGGCGCGTGAGGATCTGGAGGAGCATGTCGTCCGGGAGCATGCTGATGAGGTCATCTCCTCCCGTACAACCCTGTGCTGGTGGCGGCGGTGGTGGGGAGTGCCTAATGCGGCGGCGGGATCGGGGGACCTCCATTTAGGATTCGGGAGCGATGGGAAACTGGAACCCTAGACAGGCAACCCCGCGTGGATATATAATAGCGGCCCATCCGTCACGCAGCCCATTGCGGCCCGCGAAGCAATAATATCCACCTTTCGTTCTTTTACCGGATATATAATAGGCAACAAATCCTCAAAAGAATAAACTAAAATTATAGGAAACATATTTATTGCATCCCCTGCATCGTGTATCCTTTGTGTTCTCCACCAAATGATCTAAATCATGCGCTTCGTATCCACCACGTTGAATATTTGCATTTAGCAACCCGCTTATGGACTAAACAACCATCCTTTTATGCAAACATGTCCTCGAACCCTAGTCTACGGTCCCCAACCCAAGAGTCAACTCCTCTATCTGCCCTAAATCGTGGGCTCATGGTCTCTTCATCGGCTCGCCACATCCCCTTCTCAATTGCTCGGAAGGCTAAATCTTAATCAGAAGGCCGGTGACGACAACTAGGGCTCGGACGACCCCCTTGATGGTCTCTCTTGATGGCAGTGTCGACCTCGGTCGACGACGGGACGGACAGGGGCAACAACGACCGCAACGGTCGACATTATTCCTATGAATTACTTTTTAAGAAAACGAGGATATACCACCGAACTCTGCATTTGACGGATGCATGCAACCATTTTATTAATTATTCATAGTGACCTTATAAAGTAATACATCAGTAAGACTGAAGTCACCATTTTGGCAACAATTATCGCTACTCCTATCCCTTGATGAAGGGGTGCCGAATGTCCGAGCCTAATATCAAATAGACATCGCACCAAAGCCAAACATCTAAAACCGGATGCCCTAGCCCAGCCACAATACCGGGACTAGGTCACACACCGGTCTGGCGCACTCTCAGAGGCCGCCGCCATCGTCTTTCACCGATCTATCTCCAGAGCAGGTAATGACACACTGACCTTGCCAGGCCTTCCGTCGATGCCACCATGGCGCCAGACAACGCCACCATCCTGCAAGTATCCATCCACACGCGCTCGTCGGCGAAATTCGGCAGCACCATGCTTCCGGGATCCGTTGTCGGTCCTTGCGGTAGATGTAACACCGCACCTCCTCTTGCACCCTCCATCCAGCTCCTGCTCCAAAACGATGCCCGCAGCTGGCTGGAACAACGCGGAGCCTCGCCATGGAGACGCATGACGAGGTCAGCTCGTATGAGTGAACTGAGATGCTTCTGTTCATTTCTGAATAGTTTGGAAATCTTTAGGTGATGTTCGATTTTGCTTGTTCATATCTGAAATATAGGTTCAACTTCTGCTGTGTATTTCTCTTGGCATTTGGCAATAAATTCAACAAGGATTTTTATTACGAGAAGGATTATGAATGTCTTTGTTCAATCTTGTTGTCAAAATGGTAACCATTAAATATTCTTTACAGTATACTGGTAACCGTATTGTGTTATTGTCTAATTCAGTCCTTAGAATAAACGTTGCAACTGCAAGCATTCTCATCATCTAAACTTCTGAATTCCAGCAACATACTTGATCATCCAGGGTGCCGTAAAGCGTTTACAGAGATGCCTGATATACTGACACTAACCACTACACATCCTTACATACAGATCAGAATTTTAATCATGCTTCCATAGTTGGTAGAGAAACCTGAAGTACATAAAGATCAGGTTCCTGATACAAAAAGCTGTCCAAACAAAGAATGATTTTATCTATGTTATCCTGTACACTTTGATAGGGGGTATCCTTCTTTTCTAAAAAAAAAGTACACTTTGATGTACCTAATTCATGTAATGGATGAGAATTTGTGTTATGTCAAATTAAATTCGACTTGATTTCTGACAAGTTAGATGCTTGTGAAATTTCTGAACATATTTAAGCATGATTAAATTTCTAGTTTATCAGTAAATTGTAATGCTGTGTAGTGGCAATACATGCATGTTTGTTGCCTCTTTAGTTTTAGCCAGACCTGCATCGTCCAGGAACAGACACTGAAGTTTGTAGATGTTCAGGAAACATATGACAGTAACTCTTGCCTGTAGCTTTGATCTCAAAACTGGGCATAACCATCCCAGGCCACTTCTGTAGTTCAAAAGGTTTACTGAACAATATATGGTTTGACCACATGACTGAGAAGGTCACTTATGCTTCCAACACACGAACTGAATTAGTCACTGAATTTTTGGCAACAGCAAAGATAATACTGCTGGCCAAATGCAAAGCAAACTAACAGGGAAAAGTTCAACCAAAAGCCTCTGATCTGACAAGACATTCTCATTCATTATACTGCAAAAATTGATACAATATGCTGATACGAGCATTCCCACTAGTAATGCACATCTGCTACAGGCCTGCATCCCTACAGCTTTCTATTGACGTACGAGAGGCTACAGCTGAATGAGCGCTGTCGGGGAAGGCCATCCAAGGGGGGTGGCGCCTTATCTGAGACGCTTCGTCACTGCCGCAGAACGTTGTCAGTTCGTCATGGCTTCGCCGCCAAGACGACCATCCGGGGGTTAGTCGCCATCTATGGTGGCCGTCGCCGTAGGGTACCCGTTTTCGCTGCTACTTGCAGGCCTTTGAGG